AAGAACACTTACACAAGGTGGGGACAGAGGGTAAACAACGAATACATAGGAACACAAATACAACCATAAACCAGTAGAATAAAAAACATGGAAATGAAACCAATGAAAATTCAAAAAGAAAACTTAAACAGAACCAAAACCCTGTCAGTTTTACTAGACTTAGATCTTTTATTGTCATTTTGTATACACAGAGTGTATACAAAACAAAATTTCAAAGGGCAGATGCAGATACTAAAAAATGATGGGGAAATTTTAGATGGTTACATGCGTTTAAAGTATTTAGATTTTCTTTCCTACATAGGCAGTAAATTCAGTTCTAATTCCTATGTTGAAACCAATTAAATCAAATTCCTAAATAAAGTAACATGGATTAATTACTGCTGTGTGTAATGGTGTGAACCAACAGGCAGTAGAAAATAGAGCTCTGCAAATATGTGCAAATGCTAAGTATGTACAGCTCTCCGCCTATATGGATATACAGTATGAGGAATCGTCTGTAGGCTGTACAAAAGAAAGGTTGGAAGGATGAAGTATAAATCTGAAATTCAGGGTTAGAGCTGTCAGTTGTATGAAGGAAAAACCTTTAAGGTTGTATGTCACCACCAGCAAAGAAAATATTAAATCAAGCAAAGCATTTGCAAACATCACCAGTGATTTTTAAGTAAAAAAGTATCGTTGAATGGTGTTTTGTAAATTTATTAAGGCTGCAGTTGCAAAACATATTTCTAATTCAATTACATGATCTCATTTTAACATTAGCTTTAGTTGAAATCCCTGATGTATTCCTCTAGATGACAAGCCCACATTAATTACAATAATGTGTGACAAAACACAGTTTTAAATAGGCTCTGTAACAGACCGACTAAATTTTCTGTGGAGCTAAAGATTACTCAAGTGCAGTTAAGCTTTCCAATGAATGCCCCACAATAAATTTCTGCTTATTTGACTTTTTCAGTTTAGTAAATAAAAGGAAAAAGTAATATAGCACTTCTGTGCCAGACTAAACAATAAAGCCATACAAAAATATAAAATCATAGACCTTTGTCTCTTTAGTTTACCAATATTTGTTTAATAAATATTGTATGAAGAAATACAACCCCTGCTTTACAAATAAAAATGAGAACAGTATTTCATAGAAATGCCTCATTAAATGAACTCTAATTATGAATAATCTAATTCATTTCTACATCTATATTTTACATTAAACAGATACATATACAGAATTAGGAGTAGAAGTAAGGAAAACAAATTTAAGTGACCTCTACTATTACGTTTCAGAACATGAATAATTAATGATAACCAGAGAGGTTAGAATTACAATGTCACCCAGCCATTTATACAGAATAGGCATCACTAATATTAAATTGTGTATTTTAATTAGTCTTTAATGAACACATTTTAACTTTTTTTACAGGATGGTGTGACATAATAGTTTTTTTTTTTTTTAAAGAGGTCTATGTCTACTCATGTTAAAATAAAACAACCTATATTTATCCTCATAGTGTTTACTTAATCCTTTTTGAGCATCAAAACAATATTTGCGCTATTCACAATTGGTGGACATTAAAATTGTTGTAAGTGATTGCCAGCTGCCGGCAGTACAAATGAACAAAGAAATGCAGACCAACCAAATTAAAACTTGTTTAAAAAAACATATAATAAGGTAAGGGAATCTATCCATCTTTTTTCTCCTGCTTAGTCCTTTTCAGGGTCGCGTGGGGCCAGTGCCTAATTTCTGCAGTGTATTGGTGGGGCACTCCACCGAGAAAAGCACACACTACTTTTTTTAGCCATAAAAAGGCAGAAGTATAATACTGTTTGAATATTTGACCATTATCCTTTGAATATTTGACCATTAGAGGAATATAAGTTTGCCTTATTTTCTGGTCAAGCTTCATGCATCTCAACCAAACTATCAGATAAAGGGGAATTATTTAGGATGCATACCAGAAAGTAACCATGATACAGCAACTTTGTAGTGAACTGGAAATTGTTATTAGTGTCCAATGTCAAGCTGGTGTTACACCCTGATCCAAATTTCAGCTGCTCACAAGAAAACCATGCAAATGTTAAGCCATTTAGTCAAGATGACTACAAAGATTAAAAAAAAGAACCAATTGCTAGAAATGTCCTTTTATCCTATGTTTCAATAGAATTGTCAGTCATCATAACGGGCTTTATGCTGGTGAAGATTTACAGTCATCCAGATCACAGTCTGGACCTCCTTTCCAAGTTTGAAGATGTTTTGCTTCCCATCCAGGAAGTTTTTTCAATTCAAAATGTCAGGAATAGCGTTTAGTTCGAGGCGTTATAGAGTTGAACAAAACAAAGCTTTGTTTTGGGTTAGAAAATGCAAATTGAACCGGACGAACGAGTCCACTCCTTAGGAATGGGCAGTCATTTTGGTTCTTTGTTAGATTGCAATACTCAATACTGGTCTATGTCTCTGAAAGGGGGTAATTAGGGATAATTGTTTTGCCTGGCTGAACAGACAAGATATTCTGGTCCCCTTTAGGGGGGGGTGGGGGTTGCGATGAGAGTGGGAAGGAATCGCTTTTTTTTTTTTGAAAAGCTGAAAGTTTTTGAAAAGCTGAAACCTGAGTTTACACACTCTGTTAAGGGTTAGGTTTTCTTTCTTAACATAAATGGCTTCCTTAACATTGTTAGGGTTCCAGTTTGTGGGGGTTGTTTTTGTTCTTTTTCAGTGTCTCCATGCATCCACCAGATGGTGCCATTGTTCGTTTGTTGATCTGGAGGGCCTCTTCCTGCTCTCAACTATTCACACCTGCAGCTTGTTGGTCATCACCGTCTGAGGAGTATATGAGCAGCAGACTGTCACCATCGCCTCGCCAGAGTGTTTCCCAGTATTGGGTACTCTAGCACCTCTGAGTGTTGCTGAGTCAATACTTTGAGTTTTTGTTTTTTTCTGAGACCTCAAGTTTTTACCCAGTTATTCTCTGTGAATCTTTGGCAGCATATCTACAGATCCACTGGAAAAAGCTGGTCCTTCAAGCCCTGGAAGGAATCCTCTCGTCTTGCTGAGAAAGAAACGTTTCACCTTATCAGAACGCCATCCACTTCAGGAAAACTAGTGACAGTCTGCTCCGCTGCTCCTCAAGACCACCATAAGTCTGCCTGTCTGCCCTCCAGCTAAGTAATCTCAAAAAAATATTAACCAATAATTATGCTGGGACCTTGATGATAACAGCACAGTTTATCTGCAGCCTGGTATTGGTCACTTAACCAAACAATGCAATATATACTGTATATTTGAGGTTGCATTTAAAAAAGAGCACTTTGAAGTTAAGCTGGAGACTGGAGTTGAATCAGTCATTTATACTCTTTGAGCCAATAATCTGATGCTGTCTAAATCAATGATGTTGGACTACATTTTCCCACTTCATTTCCCACGGATTTAATAATAATAATATGTTTGGCACTGTATATGACAATAAACCAACATCCAAAACTTTACATTTATTTCTATAGGATGCACATATTCAGCATATATAAGCTTTGAACCTTGATTTAACAAAAATATAAAGATGTGAAATATTAAGTAAAAGTTAGTCTCATATACACTCACCGGCCACTTTATTAGGTACCCCATGCTAGTAACGGGTTGGACCCC